ATGCGAGTAGAATGTGATCTGATTCATTAGTCTGAATAAATATACTGAAAATTCCAGTCTTTCTTGTAAAAAAGTACGTCGAAAGTTTTTCTGAGTGACCTTATGAAACCAGAAATCTTTGTTATTCAGACGTGCAAGAAGCACCTATAGTATTTTTGATAATTTGATGTTAAAATCGCCCGTAATTTTAAATCTATCGTAGGTGAAAAGAAAGCGGAAACGCGAATTGAAGTTGTTTTCCATTCAAGGGCAATGTATTCTCGACCACAAAAGAAGCTTCACTAGTTAGGTGCTAGTCAAGTTGAAATTCACAATTTTGCAGGCTTCAGCATCGGATATTGCTTTTACCCGCTTACACCTGCTTCTGATTTTTATTCACTTTAAAGAGCATGGATATAGCTAAACCTTGTTTTGCACTCAATCACACTATCAGCCAAATTATAACTATGACTTGGAACAATTTTTTTCGCAACATATTCAAGTGATGTCGTATAATTACAAAATCAGCAATTTCTGATATCATCACCGAGGTAACACTACCTGTGTACTGTTAATGAAGAACTAGGAGACTTGAGGCTCACCCAAGTTCGCAAAGTGCGAAAATCATGAACGGCTAAAATTAGAAAATAAAACTTAAATCTTGATCGTCAAGCAAAGCACGCCTTTTTCTTTTTGAAAATTTAATACAGATTGGCGAACGAGTGCGAAAAACGCTTAGGCCTTATTTCGGGTTCCAAATTTTGACACCCATTTTTTCTTTCCAACATTGCTACGAAGTGTCTTCATCAAAGGCTTTTATTGGCTTTAACGCAGTAAGTAACATTTAGAAAATTTATTCAAATGGTTATTCAATACACTGTTCTAAATCTTGGCATTTGGTTTCGATTGCTCTGGCATTTCCACTGACACCTCATCTGGAACACCTCCAGCAGGGCATCTTCTGCAATCAGCGTCAAAATTCAGCGAGATAATGTTATCGCTAGGTAAATAGTACATTTCTTGAGCTCCTGTCTCTTCTTTCGGAATATTTTCTTGAGCTCCTATCTCTTCTTCCAAAATATTTTCTTGAGCTCGAGTCTCTTCTTTCAAAATAATTTCTTGAGCTCTCTCTTCTTTCAAAATATTTTCTTGAGCTCCCATCTCTTCTTTCAAAATATTCATCAGATTCTCTTTGCATGCGCTGACCACCGAAGCGATTATCACAATCCAGGCATGGCCGATGCCAAGAAGCCAGACGAAACCAGTTAAAAATATATTCAAGACTAAGTGATTACTACATCCCAAACACATAAATACAGCGACGGGCTAGAATAGGAGAAAATTTGAGAAAATTTGTGTATTTAGGTCCCAGTGACGAAATTTTGAAGTTCTGGTATAAGTCCAATGCAAAGACTCACTGGACAAAAGATAGCGATGATAAGAAGTATGAGAAAATTCATATTTGCTTGCTGAAAATCCAACTCAATAAACTTAAATTCAATGTAACTTTGGTAATAGATACCTATAAATCTTCTAAGCAAAAACTGTAATCATTTCCGACCACAAACTGCTAAGAACTGTGTGAAAATGAAGCATCCACCAAAACAATACCGTCTTAAGATATGTTGAGATAATGATAAAAATAGTCTTGATAGAAATTATCACATCAACCAACTGCACAAATCCATCGTATAAGATCATGCCCGCTAGGGCTCGGGCAAGTTCGGGCGATTTGGTAGCCTCGCAATTCTCTGACAAGACAACTATCATTTCTC